AAAAAAAAAAAAAAAAAAAAAAAAAAAAAAAAAAAAAAAAAAAATCAAATACTATTATACACAAAAAATAACGTAAGATGCCTGCTAAACAGGTTCAAATAGACTTGGCGACAGATAGATAAACAGAGATATAAAACGTAACTATGAAATTGGTTCTTGTGGTGAGAAGTTGCCATATATTTATCCATGTAAAAAGGGCTTCTTGCACCAGCTGGAAGATGTTCATCTGGTCTTGCTTCTGCTTCAATACTCTCCGGTGCAAGCAAATACCATAATAAGATTAATTGCATTGCAGAATAGTTGGAGAAATGTCCATCTCAGTTGGATTCCAGATGATAAAAATCTGGTAGGTTCTGACTTCCTATCTCTATATTACCAATGTATTGGACTATATAGGTACTTAGTTCCCCACATGTTTTCTGCAGTGTTCTTGGATATTTTGTTCATTTTGTGTTTGAACAAGACTTGGATAGTTGTTTTTCAAATGTAAAGGAAATAAAGCAGGCACATCCTAGTGCTAATGATAAACAGCGAATTAGCCAAACATCCTTATTCATTCGACACATTGGAGAACGTGTTGCTTTCAGGTATGTGGTGGAGGAAGTTGATAAGATTTAGATTCGTTTACAGCAGGTACACTGGATCCTATATTTTCCTCAAGTAAAAAAGAACGCCTTAGTATTGAGAAGATTGGTTGGGAGCTCCCGAGACTCACTGTTCTTGACTCGAACCTTGAGGACAAGGTTTTTTTGAAAACGGAGGAATTGTTATGAACGACATTGGCCAAAAGACCAAGGGCGTATTTAGAATATTGGAGAACTTTGTGTGGGACTGGGGCATGCAAGGGAGTTCATGTGCAACATGAGCAATTAAAAAGGCAATCAAGTTCTGCAGAAGTGTTACGTTATGCGAATTATGTTGAAGTTTCGGCTTGCTCTGTTCTTGTCACCTCCTCTTCTTGAGTGATTGTATCCTCTCATCCCCATTCTCTAATTAGTCTTAGCTTCTCATCACCACTCTTATCTCTATCCTTTAGTTACTTGTTAAATATTTCAGTATTTTCTATTGTAATTCAGTAGTTTGAGTATTGCAATTACTATATATCCCGATGCTGTAATCGTGTTTCAGTTCTTATTAATATAGTGGGGAATTTGTCTATTTGTTATATGTGCAAATTCCACTTTCTATTATGTATGCACTCCCGAAAGCACTACTACTTCATTGATCTTCCATAACATAATAGATTCGACCTTTTCCCATATCAGAAGCATTTGTTTCCAAGTATGAGATTCTCCTTGAGCCCACTTCTTGATTTTTGGATGAGATCTTTACTCAATATCTGGCTCTAAGAAACTCAGACCAAAGTGAAGGTTGGGATCAAAATCTCCGCCACCTTTTCTCTAAGATTAAATTGTGCTACTAATCTGGTATATGCATTATGAAGGAACAAAGGCTGTATGGGAACTAGGAAGATTATTGGAAAGTGCAGTTAACGTGTAATGACAAACGTGCTCATTATTATAACTACTTAAATACTCCTTCCGTTTCAATTTAGATGAGATAGTTTGATTCGATTAGAAATTTAAAAAAAAAAAAAGATTTTACTTGTGGTCTTAAAAGTTTAAGGGATAAAAATTTTGTGGGGCCATGACATTTGTGTTGTTATAAAAGCTTCTTGTTAAGGGTAAAATGGGTAAAATGAAGAGTTTAAAATTGAATTATTTCCAAATTTAGAAATTTGTCATTTGTTTTGGAACAGACTAAAAAGGAAAGTACATCGTCTAATTTGAAACGGAGGGAAGCAAAAGGAAAGTACTCCCTCCGTTTCAAATTAGATGATATACTTTCCTTTTTAGTCTGTTCCAAAATAAATGATACATTTCTAATTTTGGAAATAATTCAACTTTAAACTCTTCATTTTACTCATTTTACCCTTAATGAGAAGTTTTTATAACCACACAAATGTCATGGCCCCACAAAGTTTTACCCCTTAAGCTTTTAAGACCACAAATTTCAAAAATCTTCTTTTTTTTCTTAAACTTCGTGTCGAGTCAAACTACCTCATCTAAATTGAAACAGATGGAGTAATGTACTTTGTGCCGAGTCAAACTATCAACAACAACTGATTTTATTACGGGGCAGCTCATTGTGTTCATTCGATCTATTGTGCGCATCTGCATCTAGAATTGGGTAGACCTCATACAATGGTTATCCTAGCTCTACCATATCTTTTCTTTCATTTCTTCTGGAACAATCACTAAGACTTTTTTTATAATGGAACTACTATCAGAAATTTAATGCGTAATCTCAGCATTCAATGTGTATTCCTAAATAATCTAATTTTTCAATTATTCAACCATTTTATTTTACCAAGTTCAATGTTAGCCAGATTAGTCAACATTTATCTCTTTCGATGCAACAACAAAATCTTACTTATGTTTAATTATGTCAAAAATAACTAGAAGTAGGGGTGTACAAACCGAATCGAAAAACTGCACCAAACCGAAAAGTCAAACTAAATCGATTAAAAAATCCGGTTAGGTTTGGTTTGATTTGGTTTGGTTTGGTATTGAGTAAAAATATTTGAACCAAACCGACATATAAATATATAATTTTTATATATACTTTTAAGACTTTTTATAGAATTTTCTTTAGAAAATACCTAGAAATATTTGCAATTCTCTTATGGGATATAATATTTAGTTAAAAATGAAGTACTCCATATTTATTAACTTTAAATAATGGGTTGTATGATCACTTTCTTATCAAGTGTTAGTGAAATGCGTCAATCTCTTTGTTTTTTCATATTCATATATCAAGATCTATTAAATTCTTATATCTTTTTTGAATTTGAAATGGTATTTCGATAATTTAAAATTAAATAGAACATATTATATTGGTTCATATTTATTTTTATGTTTAATTATTAAATTCGGCTAATCTTGAAAGTGCACATTAACGTAAAATTACTGTCAGACGACTAAAAAATAATTATCATGTGTTACTAAGAAAATTCTTCCATAAGAATATTTTAATAGATCATATATTCGTCAATTTTTTTAAATTTTACTAAACATATATTTACTTATAAAAAATTTAACAAAGTACGATTGAGATAACATTCATATAACAAAAAACCCGAAAAAATCCGACAAAATCGAACCAATCCAAACCGATATAGTTGGTTTGGTTTAATTTTGATAAAAATCGAACCAACCCGGTCTATGTACACCCCTAACTAGAAGTCTTTGCAGTAATTACAGGTAATTATATGTATAGAGTTAATTTTTAGGTTGCGTACAAATTCTTTTACTACAATTTTATTGCTAGTTTAAAATAATGCCACTAGTAGCAACAAACATTATATACTTAAATGTGTCGTTTTTTGTTATGGTTGTATATAGGTGATGTTGTCTGGTTTGCTGTACTTCATCAGTATTGGCTTGTGGTCAAGTAGTGGAGACGAAAGAGTTATAATTTAAATCGTACTGGATTGCAAGAACATAATCGTAGTCTATTCAGTGTCCTAATTAGCTTATGAAGCCGAAATTGGAACCTTTTACCTAGTAGATTTAAGTTTAGGAATAGTCCTTTGGAAGTTATTGATTCATTAATTAGTCATGAAAGACCACAAAAACCTCTCCAAAACCAAAACCAAAACCAATTTGGTTTTGGTTCAAATATGTTCCATATTTTTTGACTGCACTTTCCCGATTATTTTCCTGGCTCCTACCCTATGCCTCTCTACCTTTTAAGCTATAAATACACCTACTAAGTAGAAGAGGAAATCATCAAATACTACTATACACAAAAAATAACGCAAGTTACTAAGTTTAATTCCGTCATGTCTTCCTCGACAGAATCAAACATGGCCCTGGCCAAGACCATAATATCGACAGTAGGTTCTATTGCTGCAACGGCCATGGTTGTCCGTTCAGTAATGCATGAAATTCTCCCATCAGATTTCCAAGATTATATCTCTATTGGCCTCAGGAATTTTTTCAACAGATTCTCAAATCATCAAACTATGGTGATTGATGAATTTGATGGCCTAGACGTAGACGGAGTTTACGAAGCTGCCCAAATTTACTTAGGCTCCAAACTCTCCCCAACAAACACTCATCGCTTCAAAATTAGCAAACCAGCGAAGGAGAAAAATTTCAATGTCAGCATGGAACGCAATGAAGAAGTAATTGACTTTTACAACGGCCAAAAGTACACGTGGGTTTGGGTTTGTGAAGGATCATCATCAAGAAGATCGATATACAATCCACGTGACATGAACTCCACCCTAAGATCCGAGATTAGATCTTTTGAACTCACGTTTCATCGTAAAAACAGGGAATTTGTCCTAGACACTTATTTACCCTACATTATCGACGAGGCAAAATTGCTAAAACATGAAAAAAGGACACTCAAGATTCACACTGTGGATCATGACATGATCCATGATCTAAGTGAAGTATGGATGCCGGTGAATCTTGATCATCCTGCTACGTTTCAGACATTAGCAATGGATGTGGAACAAAAGGAAAGGATTGTGAAGGATTTGGACAGGTTTGTGAAGAGGAAAGAGTATTATAGGGAAATTGGGAAAGCGTGGAAAAGAGGGTATTTGTTGTATGGTCCACCAGGTACTGGTAAATCTAGCTTGATTGCAGCTATGGCTAATTACTTGAATTTTGATATATATGACTTGGAGTTGACTGAGGTGAAGAAGAATTCGGATTTACGCGGCTTGTTGTTGGCTACTGCTAATAATTCTATTTTGGTGGTGGAGGATATTGATTGTTCTGTTGATTTGCAAGATAAATTGGGCAACAGAGAGGCTGCTAATTCATCTTCAAATAATTCTCGTGATGAGGAAGAAAGCAAGGTTAATGTCTTTGATCTCTTTACTTCTTCACCTTAAGTTGCTAACAAAAGAATTTAAATTCATGAATAAACAATGTTGAAACATAATTAGACAGTGTAAAAATGGTTATAAACAGATGGTTGGTTTTCTTCCAACCCTACCTTAATTGTTTGTAGTAGTATTCAAATTCTCAACTACATCACAACAAAGAATGAGATAAAAGTAATAAAGTGTGCCAAATTCATAATAAGAAAAATCAATCCAGCAAAAAGTATAGGATTTAACTTTTACATGCAGATAGTATAAAAAGATTTTTTACATTATTAGCGTAATTTTTACGTAGGAGGTTGCCCGCCTTATTTTCCAAGTAACAAGTTCCGCTACTATGGATAGTTACTTGTAGTAATTATGCTCTTATTAATATCCTGGTAGTGTAAGAAATCTTTTATACTAGCATTGTCTGGATTTTGTTGCAGATAACATTGTCTGGATTACTGAATTTCATTGATGGTTTATGGTCAAGTTGCGGGGATCAAAAGATAATAATTTTCACAACAAATCACATTGAAAAGCTCGACCCTGCATTGTTGAGGCCAGGTCGCATGGACATGCACATTCATATGGCATATTGTACTCCTTGCGGATTCAAGCTTCTTGCTGCTAATTATCTTGGTATTAAAGAACATAAACTGTTTGAAGAAACTGAAGAGTTGATTGGAAAGACGGCGGTGACACCGGCGGAGGTGGCTGAGCAGCTGATGAAGGAAGATGAAGTTGATATTTCACTTAATGGCTTGATTGAATTTCTTAACAGCAAGATGAAAGAACAAGAAGAGGCTAAGGCTAAAGTGGATGACAATAAGGAGGAAAAGGGTTGAAAGGTTATGGATCAACATTTTAGTTAGTGCAAATAGGGTGTATAAAGTTTGAGATTTTTTTTTTTATTTTCTATAATAATTTCAGAGAAGTCTAGCATGTTTGTTAAAGAAACATATATTTCTGTCCTGCATAAGTTTTAATCAAAGTCAATTACATATTCTTTTCATCTCAGATTGACTAGTTTTGATTTGATTGCTTGTCTATCTCCTCTTGAGGTGAGGAAACACAAGATGAATAACTAGCTAGGTAGAACAACAGCTTACTCCAACAAACCAGAGAGGCAACACCAATAAATATGACACTAAGAAACCAAAGTTCTATAGCCTGTTTATTCCACTCTATGTATTGCCACCAACAAAGGCCTTGGTGATCTTTCTCATACTGATTACAAATGCAGAATATATATACATGGGAATATGGGGAGACACACAAGAAGCAGCTTTTTTACACATCGAAAGCATCTACTAATACACCATTTCAGACATCGACACCTATTCTCTGAGCAACCTGCAGAAGAAAAATATCAGGTCATGCAAGTTTAGGTGAAAGATTAGGGCTAGTCGAAGTTAAAATTTTGCTGCAACAAGTAACGAAATCTAATGAATCGGGACCAATGCATTTGGTTGTACTAAGATGAGTTAGAAAACATGAGAGAGACCAAAATAATCCAATAGAACGTATAATCTACCGATGCCATTGGAACTTCTTTCCCATTATAAATGTGTTTGCAGGCCATTACATGCAATAATTGTAAATCAATCTCATGTAAACAGATCTATTTTCACCCTTTTGTTACGTGACTTAACCCAAAATAAAGCAAGTTATTATGGCAAAATTATCTAAAAGAGAGGCAAATAAATCAGTTACCTCTTTGAAGAAGTTAACGTCACTTCCCCACAGCCAGGCATCACAACCTGCATCTCTAGCACCCCAAATGTCATTTCTACGATCATCCCCTACAGGAACAGCATCTTCTGGATTTATTTCTAGTAACTCACAAGCTTTTAAAGATATTGTTGGATTAGGCTTCTCTGCTTTTACCTGTTAAAAGCCAAAAGGAAAATCAGCTGCTTTTACCTTTTAAGGGCCTGGAATACCCTCTCTGCATCTGGATCACACAGATGCCAAGCCTATCAAAGAATACAGGATGAAAGTAATTTTAAGTTTGTCAACGGGAAGAAAAACCAATTTGCTATTGACAGAAATAGTTCAGTATCTCAAACTGCGTCGACCTGTTCGGTAGTATAATAATTATACAACTTCTCAAAGTATTGAGAATCAGAACAGCCGGTTGAAGAACTAAATATATGTTGCCAAAATGGCCTTCCATCGTTGATATATCTGCAACATGCAACTCATATCATTAATAATTCGTTTCTTTGCTATGGCTGACAAGAGAAATTTGCTCAAATATCGAAGTTGGTCTAAAGGTCATCATCAAACTACAACAATAACCTGTGTGATCTCAAACCATTTAGATATCAAAATCCAGTCATCAAACTTTAAAAAATTATGATATGGATGTTGTGCATAAAAGCATTTGCTACCAATGTGATGTCGAGCAAATAAATTTGACCGTTGAATGAGAGCAAGAATATGTTTGAAAAACATAGTTCTCCAGAAGTTCAAGAGGATACATGTTTAACCAAAACATTTGTTGTAATTAACCAAGATACGTTTTTGGGCTTTGAAGAATTACCAAAAGTTGCATTCACAGTTGTATTCAAGTTTGTTAAGCAAAAATTGGGCTCAGACAATATATTACTACACTACTAGACAATCACACAAGGGAACAGAATATAAATTCCTTGAATAATTGGACAATGAGGATTAGCACGTTTCAGGAAGCATAAAGGTCTAAGAGCAAGCTATTCAAACAGTCACTGAAACGAGAATCTTATCAACAAGAGAAAGACAATGATCAAAACAAAAGATATGGTTTCTTTAGCAGGCAAGCTAATAGCCTGGTTGGCCAAGAGGAAAAATCAGTTTATTTTGAAAAATACTTTTTCCAAAAGTCTCTATCATCACAAGGTAGGGGGGTAAGGTCTGTGTACACACTACCCTCCCCAGACCCCACGGTGTGGGATAATACTGGGTATGTTGTTGTTGCTTTTTTCAAAAGTACTTTTTCGGTGCTTTTTGAAAAAGTACTTTTGGAGAGAAGCAGTTTGTGTTTGGCAAATTAATCTGAAAAACACTTTTGAGCAATAACTTGTGTTTGGCCAATATTTTCAAAAAGTGCTTTTAAGTATCAAATTACGAATAAGGACATAAATATATTTACTTAATAGTTAATATTACAGTCAAACTTCTCTATAACAACTTCCTTTGTTCCGAATATTTTTGGATGTTATAGCGAAGTGCTGTTACAGAGAACATATATTATAACATAACATAAATATTGGTTCCGGAAAAGTTTAGCTTTTATAGCGAAGTGTTGTTATATAGGGATGTTGTTATAGAGAGGTCTGACTGTATAAGTAAATAAATAATCTCAAAAATTGTTATCAAAGACAATAATTAAATCTTTTCATCTTATTTTAAGTAAATTATAAAAATAAAATTAAAAAGTACTTTAACTCTTTTAAGATGATTTGAATATATTATAAAATTATTCAACAGATATAAAAGCATTTACCCTTGAACTCACTATATATTAGAAAGCTATAATAAAAATTAGAAGAAATACTTATACATTAATATCCTAAATATATTAGGTTTAAAATAAGGTTATTTTGATATATACTATATTTTGTTAAGGGTATTTTTAGTAAGAAGAAAAGTCAAAACT